TGGCTCAAATCCTTGGACCCCTGCACCCATGGAGGAGACCCAGAATAAACTCCTGGCTTCCAGCTTCACATCAGCTCAGATCTGGCTATTGCAGCCATTTGCAGAGTGAATCAGCAGAATGAAGAACAGGTCCCTCTTCTCTCTCTAAATCTTTCTTTTAAATAAAAAAAAAAAAAACATCTTTTAAAGTCAATGGAACAGGGTGGGTGATTTGCCTTGTAGTCAAGACACTTGCCTGCTATATCATAGTGTCTGCTACACTGCTTTCTGCTCCTGACTTTGCCTTCCTGCTCAACTAAACCCTGGGAGGCAGCAGAAGATGGGTGGAGCACTTGGGTCCTTGACATCCAGGTGGGAGACTCGGAGTGAGTTCCTGGCTCTAGGTTTTGACTCTCCAGCCACTGAAGACATTTGAGGAGTGACCCAGTGAGTGACAGCTTTCTCCATCGAGGTATCTTTTGCTCTGCATTGCAGATGAATAACAGACATTTTTGAAAGTCAATCAAGGAAGACAAATACTACCTACTGAGAGGTGCAGCCGAGGCACATGGTGAAACGTGGGGCTCCATAAGGCCTTTGCACGGAGTTGAACAATAAGGAACTAACGTATAATGTAGCACCATGCCTCTGGTGCACTTTTTGAGTATCCACCCTGTTTCCGGTCTGATCCTCTGAGTATGAGCAGAATCTCTGTTTAACACAGGTACAACGATGTGCTTTGCTTCCTTGAACCTTCAGTCTTGCGTAGGTGGGTCTTGAGAGCACTGGTGGAGTAGCCGGCACTTGTCCATCAGTCACAATGAACAGAGTTCAGACTTCACTATTGGCTCCCATGGTTCCAATAGATTGATTTTCTTACCTGAAATGACATTGAACGTCTTGCCTGTAGCTTTCGTTGTAGCTCTTCCTTAAGTGTATAGTTTACCTCATGTTTGAATTTTATGCTTCTTTTGAAAGATAGTTTTGCTCAGAAAACAAGTTTTAGTCACCAGTGTTTCTTTCAGAACCCTGAGTAACACTACCTTTATTCCGGCTCCTGTGGTCCTTGTTGGCTCATCTGCTACCACTCGAAACTTTCCTTCACAGTTAATCGCCTTAGAGTCCTTGATACGACTGATGTTACAAAACTTGAAAACCAAATGTTCAGATTTGTCTTTCTGTCTTTGTTTACAAAGCTGCTCTTTTCAGATCTATAAATTTCTTATATTCTCTCGGTGATTATTTCCTCAGATATTATCTCCTCTTCATTCTCACTATTTTCTCCTTTGGAGATTCTAATTAGTTCTGTGCTCCAACTTTTCATCCTTTTTTCCAAATCGCTCAATCTGTTTCATCTTCTCACTCCCTGTTTACATGTGCTGTCTCCTAGGAAATGTCCACCTCTTCCTTGTTTCGATTTTACAACTGATTTTCTTAACAATGTTCTGACACTGTGTTGTTCAAAGAAATACTTGCTTTCTATTTCTTTTGCAATTCCACTTTTCTTTAAACATTCTACACTCTATAATTGATTGTTTCAGTGTTTGATGTGTTTGGAATGCATATTGCTTTGGTTTCTATTAACCCTCATGCGTTGATGCTTGACTGAGATGAGATATCAAGGCGTTGTACTTTATGTTAGTCTGAGTACCATCTAGGGGTCTAAATTGGCGTTTCTTGTGTATACTGCTTCGGGGCCCCACTTCTGAGGTGCTCCGTTCCATCCTCTGGATAGTTAGATTTGGCTCTCACACCTCGCCAGGGACTCGAGCTGCCGCTTTGCTAGCCACATCTGTTGGCTGGGTGATTCTTCCTATTACACTTATTGACTGCTCCATGGACGCGTTGGCATTTGGTCTGTGCGTTTTATCTTGTGTTTTCCCTCAAAGATTTAATTTTCCTTACTTTGAAAACTTTAGAAATGACATAAAAGTTATTGTGAAGGAGCTATTGTTTTCATGAAAGAATGCCTTTCCTATTTCTCTGGGTTTTGTTTTGTTTTTTGTTTTTAAGTCCTGGGTTTGTGGCTGTGCTTGGAATTGCTGAACTTGCCAAGAACTAAAATTCCCAACTACATAGACCACGACTTAAGTTATTTTAAAATTGGAACATCAGAGTTGGAACACTTAAATTTTGTGTTCAAAGTGGAGCATGTACCAGGACTCAACTGATAAGACACTCTTCACTGATTAGACCCTGTGAGTCTGGCAGGTTCTTTTCAGCCTGTGAGCTACAAATAAATGTTACCGTAGGTGAATAACATTACTTAGAATTTTAGTCTTAATGAATGGTAAATTAAGGCCTTAAACTCCCTTGGAGAGGCTAGCATATAAATTTACTCACAAATACTTAGCTAATACAGGGGGAAATACTCTGGCTAACTGTAACTAATCCTCAGGGGAATTCTGTCATTGTTGGCCTGCTCTCAGTAAGTTTGAGATCTTTATCTTATGACCTATCTTAAGTGAAATGTTATTGATTATTATAACTTGCTAAGTGATTATCACTCGTCCTTTTGCTCCAAAACTGAAAGTGATACTAAACAGTTAAGGGATCGGATGTTGTAAATAAGATTATGTAGTCTATAGGAGTGAGCAGTACCATCGTTAAGTAGAGTGAATGCTTCATATAACCTTGATTTGGAAAAAAAGCGATCTATAGCCAATATGAAAAAACAATCATAGAATTCCAAAAGTGTAAAGAATGAACAACTTCTGCCTATGTTTAAATATATTCTTCATTTAATAGGTTGTACCAAATAAATTTTGATAACACACACATAAAAGTTACAGCAAAATCTTTGAAAATACCTTCCCGCTTCTCCCCACACAAAACCAGGCAACTAGCATTTTTCATTAAAATCCCTGAATTAGCTAGGATCCCATTAAATTTTGCAGCATAGGAGTCAGTATGTTTATGTAAGGTTTCATTGTGTAAATGCCACAAGTACCAACAGGAGAAGGAAGTGAAGGAAAGGGCAAGAATCAGGCAAGGATCAGTAAAAGAAACTTCTGCACATTTCCAAAGTTGATATTCAGGGATATGTCAGCTTGCACAAGTCTTCTGCCTAAGCTATGGATGAGGCCCTCCTAGGTTCTTCCTCAGGAATTATGTCTCTAGGGAAAAGGGAAATTAACTCACATGGCTTTAAACATATTCGTTACAGTCCCGTGTGCCTTTCAGCCCTCGTAGGTGCAGTTCAAAAGGCTAGATAGTCACACTGCGTATTTCAACTGAAAATGCTGAATGAGAGGGCTAATCATGACTTGCAGTTTCTGCCTTTCAAACCCAAATAATGAGTTAAAACGGTTCTTAACCATTATTTACAATTACGGAGTTCCAGATCCAGGAATGTTAACGTTTCAAACATTATCTCTGAAAAATCTAACAAAAAGCGTAACTATTCCCTTTTAGTGATTTAAATCTATTGCTCAGGCTTCTATTCACAAAGAAATCTAAACTAAATCTTAACATCTCCTCTTATTCCAAGACATTTTGTCCCATAGGAAACATATTTAAGCTTCAAATAGACTTATGATGAATGATCCATGAGACTTAATTTCACTTTAATGTTCACAGTCAAGTGTCCCGTACCGGCAACTAGCATCCATCATCTCTGGGGAACAGAGTGTAAGACAACCCAATCGTCTTGTTTTTTTTTTTTTTTAAAAAAAACAAAGTAAGGAAATTTGTGTTATCTGAAAAAGATCTCAAGGTTAGGAAGGGGAAAAGGTGCTTAAAATGTAAGAAAAGATCTTGAAATATTTCTTTTCATCTTTGACTTTTTTTCTCTCTCTCTCTCTCTCTTACTTCTTGGGGCTTGAAAAATCCGATGAGAATCTTTAAATTATCTGGAAGGTGTCCTGGGGAATTAAACTTACCCATTTCTTCAAAGAGAGAAGAACTAGCTACATTATGTGATGAATAAAATATTTTCATTTCAAATTCTCTTTGCCTTCTCATTCTGTCAGTGCTGGAATGGAAGGAAGGACAAGGAAGACCCTCGTCTTCTATGGCCTGCGATGAAACGAGGCTTTCATCACAAGATGGTTTCTCCAACAGTGTTGTTAGGAGATGGTTAAGAGCAAGAAGTATGAGAATCCGTATCATTCTGTTAGAAAACCTTCTGTCCAAACCAGGGCTACGTGGTGTTATCCGTGGGAGTATTCTCCACTGAGGGAGGCTTGTACTCGGAAGAGGACAAGTTCTACCATGTTCTCTGGGAGAATTCTTTGAGATTTAACCAGGATCGACATAATCCCACAGCCCACCGCCCTGCCTATACTTCATCTTGCACTAACCATGATGTTTATGATCTTGCTTTCCGGATGTAGGAACTAAATTCTACTGAGTGTGTTTTAATAGGCGTGCAACACAGAGTTAAAGCAAGAAATATCGACGTTTAAAAAGGAATATTCTGGGGAAAGTAAAGTGCAAAACTTTGTGCCAATGTTTTACAGAAAATAATTATTGAGTGCAAAGCAATGCGTTTTCATTGTTACTATATTTCTGTGTTCATTTGAAAACATTTGTGTGAGTGGAAGATGTTCTTCAGGAAGTTTTCAGCAAGTGGCTCTTGATCGCTTTACTGCTGCAGAGAAAGTACGCCTGGCCCATGTAGAGCTATTCCCATTCATATTTCAGAATTTCAACACATGTCCATATCTAAATTAGTGGAATTACTCTGCGTGATTTAAGGGAGAAAGGCTAAGTGATCAACACACATTTCTTATCTTAATAATGCCAAAGTTTTATGTATATCTGTATCTTTACACACCATGTGGAAGTAAGGAGCAGGCACATAATTACAGATTTAAAATAAAATGAAATGTAAGAAAGAACAAGATAATCAGATTGCGTGGTGACAAGAGGTGGCCTCCCGCCAGGCCAGGGGAGAGCTGACTGCGAGCATGCTCAGACACATGGGAGGCACCGAAGTTGCTAGATCAGAACTCCTTGTGTACCAGAAGGAGGACACACCAATAACTCCACACTGAAAGCGCCGGGATCTTGCTGCTACGAACCGTCTCTGCAGCCTCAGTAGGATCACCATACCATGCTCTTTGTACTTCACTTCTTCCTTCTGATCAATGTCAAAGGTAAGCTTGCTGATTTCTCACTTTCAGCGGATGCGTTTCCCAAAGAATATGGGATGTCTTTTTCCTCCCGTGGCTGATTGCCGGGTCACAGGGGCACACACCAAGCTTGCCTTGTCACTGTCGTTATCACTAACTGCTGGTAGCCTCATGCAGTCACCCAGCGATTTCTGGATGCTACAAATTATTTTTTTTCCGTGGGAATGTGCCTTAATCTATTTACAAAAGTTGTAGATGAAATTTTTTTAAGTGTGCATCAATTATAACAGACAAGAACTTTTAGTATTTTTAAAATACAACAGATGAATAACTAAGATTTCACCTCGTTAGAGTTCAACCTGTTGAAATGTATTCATAAAATATTTGTTGGTTACAAACCAGACTTCGAAATTGACAGTTAACAGGTAACAGGAAGCCACAGATAAATCTAAAGAAAAACTATCCCTTAGAGTAAATCTAACTCAGATAAAATTGTTAAAAAGTATGCAAAAGAGTAGGTAATTCTCCATTCTGTTTTTAATTTGGGGAAATTTTTATGTCAAGCAGACTGCTAATTCTATAAAGCTGACTTCCCCCCAATTCCCCCCAAAAAACTTAAATCCACCTGGTTTTAAAGAACTTGTTTTGCCATAAGCTTACACACTTGTGAATAATCTATTCCTTGTGTTCGAAGTCTGCTAAGTTTTGCCTTACTGTCATTCCAAATTGCATGTATTTTAATTTATAAGTTTTCATAAAGATATGCTGAACCTCTCAGAAGAAAAGAAACTGAAATTATCTTTATTTTCTGAGAACTTGGTTTAAAATTTTTGAAATACTCAGTTTTATGGAATGAATTCCAACTGGACATTTTTAATCTTAGAATGAATTATAATATTTGTGAGCAAGTGTTTAATAACTTCTAGCAAATGAAAGATTTTTGAGGTATTAAAATATTTAATTTTTATTTAGAACCTAAAGTGATGGTAAAATTCAGTTCAACTTATTTGAACATATCATCTCAGTGCTCTATGAGATTGTTGTTTTGTATTTTAATCTTCTCACATTAAAAAAAAACAAGTATTTTCTAAGGAGAAACAATATTGAAAGTTGCATAAAATTCACATACAGAAAACATTCTATTTCTTTAAGGTATGAACTGAGACATTTAGGTTCTATCCACATTTGGAATATGCAGGATTTTTAAACATAAACAATTTAGAAGTAGTTTCTCAGCTTATCACTCATCTGTGTCATTAAAAGATGATGTGATTAACGATGGTACAGTTCACTGGTTTCTTGTACTAACGAACTTTTACTAATGCATTTAACTGATTAAACTCAAAGAAATGTCAACCACATAATTCGTATTTTTTAAATTTCTAGCACATGTCATATTTCAACCAACCACATAAATATTTATTGTAATTCTTATGTCATCACCTCACATTACTTTTCACTGTTAAAGTATTATACTTAAAGGGACTTCAAAGTAATGCCTATTAATACCATAAAAAATAACTTTTGCTAGTTATAAACCAAATACCTGTCTTTTTCACAGTTGAATTGTTGAAAGGTAAAATATTAAGGCAGTTTATAATAAAGGAAGATCATTGGGAATTATGCAACTACTGCTTTAAAAATTTAAGTCACGAGTTGTGATGGGTTCTTAGCTCTGAATATGAACATTTTAAAAATTATATGATTACCATCCCTCTTCTGGCCACGTTGAATCTGGAGGGTCCAACAGAGGATTGATATTTACTGTCATTAACTGATGGCTATAGAACCTATCCTATTGCTGCATTTCCTGTTATCATTGTTAGCTGGTTTCAAAGCACTTAAATGCAAAGGTATTTTCGTGGACTGTTAGGGATAATATTGCAAATGAAAAACAATTTTATCTGGGAAAATAAAGGAAAACGTATTGAGCATTCCGCCTGTTAACTCCTGATTGTTACTCTTACAAATAATTTGCTAACCTAAAAATTCGGACAGGAGGGCCCAAGCAGCACTTCTCGCAGTGAGCAGTGTTGGACTGCCCCCTAGTGGCCGCCATCAAAGCAAGTCGGCGCCTGACTCAGTTCAGTTCCTCTTGGCGCCTCTGGCTAGAGCAACAGTTTTTGCTACATTTTCGTGTCACTCGATGTCATTCGTGCTGCAGATGGCTGTGAAAATCAGTTATGGCTCAGAGCTGACTTCCCGAGGGCCTAGTGCGGCACCTCTAATGAAGAAGAAACTCATCCGCTTGAGGGTGACGGCAGCACGCTGTTGAGAGAGGAGGGCAAAGTGACTGTGTTGGGAGCGGCACTGTGTGGAAAAGCAGCAGCTGAATACATCTCACCACAGATGTTTCCTCGTTTGCTCATCTCACTGTGAACAAATATGACCAGATGCGTGAAAAAGCAGGTTAAGACCCCCACTGGAAGCCACAGAAGTGCCTACCACTTGAGAGAGAAAGCGAGTCGGCTGCTTTTCCAATAAGATGATACTGGAAGTACTACATTCTGTCATGAAAAATAATGGCCAGAATAACCCTCCACCACAGTGGTAAATGCACAAAATACATCAAAGTGAATATTTGTTTAAGCATCCCTAGGGCTTGGCTGGCTTCTTTGATAAATAAACAACTTAACATGCATGAAGCAAAATGAATGTGCTTGTTTTGAATGAGAAATAATAGTGACCTTGGAAGCCGACTTACTAGAAAATGAAAAATAAACTTTGCAGGCATCCAGTTCTCACTTTATACTCCTGGAAGTGAGAAGTATCTTTCTAAAAATCTGAGCTTAAAAACTGTTTGTGGTGAAGGTCAGTGTTGGGACATGCCCCTTGGGATTGCAGCTCAAAGCTGAAATCAAGCAGTTGGATTAGTGTTCATGTAATAAGCAGCCTTTTGAATGTTTTAGAAAGAAATATAAATAAAAATGAACCATATTGCAAAGTTAAAAGTCTTTCAGTTCAATATTATAAAATTAGAGCTTTCTGGGCCCAGTGTGGTAGCCTGGCTGCTCAAGTTCTCACCTTGAATGCACTGGGATCCCATATAGGAGCTGATTCTAATCCCAGCAGCCCTGCTTCCCACCCAGCTCCCTGCTTGTGGCCTGGGAAAGCAGTCGAGGACGGCCCAAAGCCTTGGGACCCTGCACCCACGTGGGAGACCCGGAAGAAGTTGCTGTCTCCTGGCTTCGGATCCGCTCAGCTCCATCCGCTTGGGCAGTGAATCTTTGGACGGATTCTCTTCCTCTCTGTCTCTCCTCCTCTCTGTATATCTAGCTTTCCAATAAAAATAAATAAATGTTTTAAAACATAAGAGCCTATTTTGTTTTTAAAAATATCAATGAACATGGAATATGGGCTGCAGTACGATATTCCCACACACAAGTCATAGCATGAAAAGACTGCCTTGTCAGCTAGCATTTCCATTGTGACTCAGCTTCTCCTTCTCTCAGCTGTCTTTATACAGTGTGGACTGCATGGCTGTGACCTGTGGTTAACCCAGCGGGTTGCAGAACCTGAGCTGTGATAACTTCTGTCTGTGTTTTGGTCCTCATTGTCCTCCCTCTGTGCCTCTCCTTCCTTAGTCCTTCCCACTCTCTCGTAATCACGATGCTAATTCCCCATACAGCGTGCACACAGGAGGGAGAGGATGCAGTGCTTATCTGTTTCCCAGAGCCCCTTGGTCTTCAGCCCCCTCATTTTGGGGCAAATGCCTGGATTTCATTCTTCCTTTCGCAGCGTAATATTCCACTGTGCATAAAAGCCCTGCGTTCCTCATCCGTTTACCCATCAGTGGGCTTGGTGGCCTTGCTCTCCTCCTGCTCTTGTACGCTGTTCCGGGGAGTGGCCCTGACCTCTCTCTCCCCCTTCTCCACATCCCTTCCTGCCACTCTTCTTCCCTGCTGCTTCCCTCCACATTTCACCTCTGCACACAGCTCATCTCTTCCCACCATTTCTGCATCTCATCTGCTTGCTCCCCTTCTCCTGATGTCCTTCCCCTGGGCTCTCCATCTCCCATCCCCTTGCCTGCTTCCCACGTCTCTAGCTGTCTGTTCTCGAGCTCTGGCTCCACCCCAACTGGCTCCCATGCTCTGATCCCTGCACATGCTCCGTGCTGATGGTTCCTTTAACCTCAGTGAAGACTTCCTCCCCCATGAGTGCCTCCCCTCCACTCCCCTGCCTGGGCTGAGCATCCTCCTTTCCTGTTATTGGTTCTGTTCCTACTATTTCCTGCCATTTCTGTGGCCAGAATGGCTGAATGTGTGCCCAACCAAAACCAAACGACTATCCCAAAGTCTTAGTACCTCTCTTTTTGTTCGTTCTATGGTGGTTTCTTCATGATCCTGAAATCCTGAAAACTGCATATTTGAATGCCTATAAAATCTGGGAAGAACTGACAAGAGGCTATTTAGTGTCACATTTGTAATATACTTATTGCCAAACTTCATACATTGTGCTGTAGGCAACCACTAACCTATTTGAGTATGGAATTTTGCTCCAGGCCTATTGGGAGATGCAATGGAATTTATAGGTTAGGTATTGTATCAACTTTTTAAATTAAATGATTATGTGCATAAGTATGTGCATGTTTGTGTATCTGTAGATGTGTGTGAAGACTCCACTCTATCTAACCTAGGGATTTCTGCTGAAGTGGTACAGGCCAGAATTTGTTATCAGCCAATTCAGAGCATCCCTGGACTAAGCCACATCCTTCTTACCAGTGGTAGAATTATTCTTGTCATTGCTCTAGGAAATTTGATGTTAATAAAATTTGTTTAGACAGGAAGAGACAATTTTAAATATTCCTTTCTCTGACTCTAGTTTACTAAATCTGTTGTTTTTTTTTTTAGTCCCCATATTTCATTCCTAGAATTTCAATCGTGTTTACAGTGATCTGTTCTTGTTTAATAAACTTCCATTCTTTTTCTGAGATTTATTTTATTGGAAAGGCAGATCAGATGTACAGAGAGGAGAGACAGAAAGATCTTCACTCTTCTGGTTCACTCCCGAAAGGGCTACAATGG